GGATAAACTTAAATTCCTAAAGTGAGATTAAAACTCTTCTCACCTTCTTAGCAGAGAACTGGTATTTCTTCCTTTTTAAAGTCTTTAGTAGTAGAATTTACTTTGTAAAGCCAACTGGAGTCATCGTTTTGTTATGGGGAAAATTTTAACTATGAATTGAACTCCTTTAAAATGTTATAGTTGTATTAATTGTAAACTTCATTGTATGTCAGTTTTGGGAATCTGTATCCTAAGGAATTTTAACATTTCATTTAAGCTGTTGAATTTGTTGGCATAAGGGTATTTTTGTGTGTGTAGTGTGTGTAGAATTTTAGATGAACAATTATTTGCTTTCAGCTTCTACTATTTAAGAAAAATTAGCCATCAACCTAATTATTGTTCTTCTAATGTTAGGTGTCATTTTCCCCTCTTGCTGTCTTTGCACATTTTATCTTTGTCTTTTGTTTTCGGTTACTTTGCTAAGTGTAGATTTTTTTTTTCTTGAGGATTTTTTTCATCTGTTGACTTTCTATTTGGTGTCTTTTATTAATTTTGGAACTATGCTCAGTTAATTTATTTTCAGATATTGTTTCTGTCTTATTCCTCTCTCTTCTACAGTAAGACTCCATTAAGTATTTGTTTAATCTTGGCATATGTTTTAAGTGTCTTACCCTAGTTTTTTTGAGTCTTCATTCTAACCACTGTCTTTATTCTGATTTTTTCCTAAGCTATCTTTCAATTCTTTTTTGTATCATATTTAATGTGCTATGAAACACATACAATGAGTTCTTAATCTTGGTTTATTAAATTTATTAGGGTCCTGGATTTCCTTTAAAATACTCTCTGAGGTTTTATTTATTATGATTTTCTCTGTTGAAATTTCCCCTTTTTGCTCTCTAGCTCCTCAAAAATAGTCATGACAGTTATTTTAAAGTTTGTGTCCAATAATTTCAATATGTGGAGCTCCACTGAGTTTGTATCTATCATCTGTTGTTTCTACAATTTTTTTTCCATGTTAACTCATCTCCTTATGTGCCCTGGTTATCTTTGATTGTATACTGACTTATATTTGGAAATTCATAGAAGTAATTTGAAGACTAGAATAAAGCTATCTTCCTCCAGAAAGTATTTTTATCTACTTCTCTCAAGTGTCCAAGGGCCTTAACAATCTGGAATCAGATTCCTGAGCACAGATCTGTGGGAATGTCCTGGGATGTGTCCTGTTAGCAATTATCCAAGTGATTCTCATTTCTAGGGAGAATGCTTCAGACATCTATAAGGAACTGTTCCAACTCAAGAGTCTATAATTTCCTCCATGAGGTAATGGAACCCACATTGCAATGGCAGCAAGTAATCCAGCTTCTATCTTGGTTCTGTCCTTGACAAGCTGTGTGATTTTTGAATACATTACATAATGCACTAGGACTCAATTTTCCTGTGTGCAAGAATAAGTGAGAATAGATATATCTCATGGTTCTTACAAGCTAGAAATAGGGGCTTCTGAGGGTGGCCTGGAAGAAATGAAACTTTAAAGTCACTGGTAAATTCTTTGCAACATTCAGGTGATAGAGACTTATCTTGGAATGACTGTGATAGCTGGGCAAGGCCCAAGACCTGGCTGGTTTCCTGGAGTTGGCAGGCTTTCAGCCCTGGTTACGTCTATCACGCAGGGCAAGTGGGAACGGATGGGGTGTCAGAACTGAAGTCAGAAATCGGACCAATTTGGCTGTAACCACTTCATTACCTTCTTTTTCACTATTCAAACATGAAGTGAGATGACCATGTGGTACCTTTTCTATGGGCAACTTGCTCAGGAACACACCAGCTTCTAGAAGATGAGTCTAGTACATATCTTAAAGATGAACATATGCAAATTTTAGGAGCTACTCAAATCTCTGGAATCCCCTGCCACTTAAGCTCTGATGACTCTCAAGTCCATATTTCTCATATAAAATGTTCTTTAGAACCTCCTTTTCACCTGTCTCCTGGACAGCACCACCTAAAAGCCCCTTTAGAGTCTCCAAAACAACATTATCAAGATTGATCGATCTTCTTTCCAAGAACTATATTGAGTAAAGGTATGAGACCAATAGAAGTTCTCTTTATTTTCATCAACTTCATTATATTTATTTTTATTGTTTATTATTAATAAAAAGCTTACCAATCATCTTAGATGAGCTACTTGAAGACCAGAAGAAAAAGTAGTGAAAATATGATGGAAAAGGCTTTATTTTCAGCATAGATAATCAAAATTGTTGCTTTTTTTTGAGGATATAGAATTTTTTAAAAAGTTTAATTTTACACAATTTCTGCATTTTTCCATCTAAGTTGTAATCCCTCTGGGTTTTCCATCACCAAATCACCTGTATGCCATCACCATAGTCCAGTGCATTTCCTTACCCCCACTGTTTTTTGATCCCATTACCCACTCCACCCCATAAAATGTCTCAGGTATATAGCTGATCATTATTATTATTTTCTTGCCTAGTCTGTTATACTCCTGCTATGAGTGAAACCATGCGGTATTTTTCCTTTTCTTTCTGGCTTATTTCACCAGCTCCATTCATATTGCTACAAAAGGCATGTGTTTATTTTTTTTGGTTGCTGAGTAATTTTCCATTGTGTATATGTAACACACTTTT